GCGCCGCGCCCGCGTGGAGGCGCGCCGGGTGGCGGCCGAGGAGCCCGTCGACGCGGTCCGTCGGTCGCAGCAGCTCGAGGAGCCGCGTCGCGACGTCGGTTTCGCCGAGCAGCATCGCCGCGGCGGCGCCGGTGTCGAAGAAGTAGTCCGGCGGGGACGACGACGAGGGCTCCGCCCACGAGCGGACGAACGCGCCGAGCGTCCGCGGGCCGCGCGGCGCCGGGATGCCGAAGCTGCGTTCGCCGTGCGGGATGGGGTGCGGCGCCACGGCAAAATCGTCCCGCGTCGCGAGCGCCGCGGGCGCCCACGCGTCCGTCGCCCAGTCCGCGGCCTCGCCCCGCACGACGACGGGCGCGCCCGCGAAAATGTACGGCTCGAGGCCGCCCTCCGCGAGGTCCGAGAAGTCGAGCGACGCGATGCCGCAGTCGTCGTCGCCCGGGGCCTGGAGCGCCGCGATGTCCGCCGCGGTCCGCCCCCAGGCGTCCCGCGCCTCCGCTAACTCGGGCGCGCGGAGCGCGCGGAGCGCGCGGAGCGCGCGGACCGCGCCCCGCGCGGCGGCGACGTGGAGCGCCGTGCGGTTCAGCGGCGCCGGCGACGCGCGCCCGGCGAGCGACGCGCGCGCGCCGAGCGCGACGAGCGCCTCGCACGACTCCGAGGCGCCGAGCCACGCCGCGAAGGCCAGCAGACCGGTCGCGAGGTCCGCGTCGACGACTTCCGCGTGCCTCCGGACCGCGGCGACGAGGACTTCGTCGGAGACGCGCCGGTTCTCCTCCGCCGCGCCGTCGCCGCGGGGGGCGCCGTCGCCGCGCCGCGCGACGAGGCCGCGGAACGTCGCGGAGTCGCGCCCGAGCGCCTCGATCGCCGCCGCCGCGCCGCGCGGCCCGAGCGCCGCCCGCGCCGCCGCCTCGACGGGTCGTCGGTCCACCTGGAGCCGGCTCGTCAAGCGCCAGGCATCGCCGCCCAGGACGGCGAGATCGTCGAGGAGCGCCGCCCGTGGGTCGAGCGGTGCGCGGTGCAGAGCGAAGAGCACAGCGGCCAGGATGCCGCAGACCCCTGCTTGGAACAACGGCGACTTCGCCATAATCTCTCGCAAGTGCTCGCGACTATTGCCGGCACGAGGCATTGCGCGTTGACCACCCGAAAATCCCCTGGCTCCGATTCACGGATCGAATCGTTGATTTCATATAGAAAATAGTTATATTATGGAAAAATTAAAGTCAGTCGCATATTCCAGCGATTTCATTGGTCGAGGACAGAAGATAACACGTATTCTTTGTCCGACGCCACACGCTGCGGTACCTGGAAGTATTTTTGTGAATGGGTGGCCTCGGGACGCCGCCAGGTGCCCTTCATCGCAATTTGAAGAAAATGGTGCGTCTCGGACAAAAGATCGCTACTCTGGTT